AGTGCTATGAACAATAAAACTAAAATTAAACAATCTTGTTTAAATTCCTATTTTATTACTTTGATTTGTATGTTATAAATTTTTCTTTTTTAACTATATTTGGTACGATGGAGTTCTCACTCTTGGTCGTATTGTTACCGGATATCCATAAACGCTTTTCATCAAAACTTCAAATTTTAACTTAATGTCAGACATTTTACAATTTGTATGTACACTATAATTTCGTAAAAATGTTGACAGTGTGACTTTCATAGAAAGCATTGCATATTTCATTCCTAAAATTATATAAAATGGTAACGTTTCATTTCTATATTACATTCTAATATACAGTAAGTATCAATAATTAATTATTGACCTATGCAGTTGCGAGGTCCACCACTAAAACCAGTAAAACTATACTTGTGTCGTTTAGCCACATTCTCTGGATTAAAATTCTCCGGATTAAATTCCCAAGGCTTTGGATAAAATTCTGGTAAACGATGAGTTCCAATTGAAGATATTGCTATAGTAGTGCCCTTTGGAATGATGTGGTTTGCTTAAAAATATACGTATTTATATAATAATTATTTTTAAATTAAACAAAAAAATTACTTATTTTAGTATCTTCTTGAACACGTCTTAAAATAATGGGAAATATTGGGTATAATCGAATAGTTTCTTTAATACATTGTTCCAAGTACACAAAATTAACCGTATCTTCGATTGTTAATGTTTGATCACCATTTCCCATTACTTCATATATTTCATCATAAACTTTATCCTATAAATTTCAAACTAAATTTTTAATACAATATCTCATTAATAATATTTAGAAAATAACTACTTGTATATCTTGATGGATAGCTAACATTAGAATACAGAAACTAATGGTTAATGCACTTGTCTCAGTACCCTGTAAAAAAATTACATTATTTGATTAATAAATAGTTATTGGGATAATTTTTACCGCTGTCATCATAGTAATAACTTGATCTCTTAAATCTTTATCAGAAAAATTTGCTCCGTGGTCATTTAATTCTAATAGTATGTCCAAAAAGACTTTTAATCGTTTTGCTAAAAAAATGACGTATAATATGTTAAAATAATAAGTATAATAAAATTAAATAATAAAAAAATACTTTCGTTTTTAGTAGTATTACTTTCCATTGTATTTCTCTGGGCGTATTCAATTTTTTTTTCTTTAATTATCTAAAGTAACATTTTTTATTCATTAGGTTCACAATATATATAAATAGAATGTATCAGGAATAAATACAAGATAAAAAACGGTAGCACAGTGGGGTCGAGGCACAGTGTGGACGAGGCATAGATGGGACAAGTATAGATGATATCTGACAG